GCCACAAGTAGAGGAGAAAGTGCTGGAGTGTCAGGGTTAAAAGAAACACAGCAATTCCTTTTGAATACTTTCTTCACCTTTTTCTTTGTTTTAAATAGATGGCAAACAGGTTGTGGGGAAAAAAATACTGAACCCGTATAATTACTATCTATGGCTACATTTTGTCTGACTTGAATAAAAGCAGCAGCAAACAGAAGTGGGAATGCCGGTGACTCGCTTCCTGATCTGCACAAACCTCATAAAAAGTTTGTTGTTCACAGGCAGCTTTTCACTCAGGGCGGATGGTGGGTGAGGGACAGGGGCACGGGGACAGGGGGAGAAAGGGGAGAAGGAAGGAAAATGTCTCTTGAAGTAAATTCAGACAATTAAAATTCCACCACATGGGCACCGACCTCAGGAAAGATTTCAACAGAATAAATAATCTTGGGCTCAGAAACCTGGATGCAGAGCCTGTGAAATCCAGGGCTCTGGAAAAAGCAGACAGGAAAAGTTCTGTATAAGGCATCACTGCTTTTGGCAGGGAACTTGCAAATTAAAATCAAATGCTGCACAGTCAGGCAACTTCTAAGCAATTTCAAATAAGTACAGTCATAATTCATCTCTAGTCAAACAATGTGAGATTTTTGTACGAGTAACAGGAAAAGTTCTAGAAGGAAGGAACACTTCTAATGTCCATTGTTCTGCAGATGCTCCCACTCAGGCAGTGATTTTCCCCCCACAGTTACTAAGTGGGAGTCAGCTTATTGGAGGAAAGGTAAGGCATGTTCTTTTATTTCAGTAAAGGAGGAGTGTGATTATCTAATCCTTACATAACTCTGAACAGATGATAGCAAGTGCACTTGTTTGTGTGATTTGACAGAATGTATGTTTTCTTGGCCTCCCACCCAAGTAACTGGAAAACATCCACCTGATGAGAGATTGTACATGGGGGGGGGGGGGGGAGGCTCTTTTTGCATTGAGACTGGCTTGCAGGTTGAGGGTGCACCCTGCAAAGTATTCAATTTGTTTCTTTTCTAAACAGGCATCTGCAAAATGGGGAGGAGAGGTTCTGAAACTATATATAGAAGCCCCAATGTTGCAATAAAGGCACATATACTTCCCCTAAAGTGCTGTTATCTACACACACAATAATAGCAATCATTATACTTGAGTGTCTATAGTCATGATAGTGACCCAAACTTGATCAGACTAATCATTTAATGTTTACTAAGACTTCTCCCACTCTTAAAAGTTCTAGCATTCTATGTTAGGATCACAAACACCAGGGTTTTGAGTGAATAGGAAAGCTTATAAAAAGTAGTGTAGAACAGGGTTTTATGATTTTTTTACTTTTTATTTTGAAATAATTATTGACTCATGAGAAGTTACAAAAAATAGTACAGAGAGGTCCCTTACACCCCACACCCCACACCCCAACTGTAACATACATAATCAAAGCCAGGAATACCATTCACTAGATACTATTCACTAGATTCTGACCTTACAGGAATTAGAACAGTTTTGTTGTGTGTTTTTAATCCTCACCCGGTGATGTGTTCATTGACTTTGGTGGGGGTGACAGAGAGAGAAATGTTGATTGGCCACCTCCTGTACACACCCATAACAGCAATCGAACTCACAACCCTTTTGGTGTACAAGACGATGCTACAACCAACTGAGTCACCCAGCCAGGGCAGAACAGGTTTTTAAAACAATCTGGACACATCACAGACACTGCTGGAGGTCATGCGCAAGACATTTTCTACGACAGTGTGCAAATCAGGTTCCTTCCTCCCAATACCACTTTGCTGATCCAGCCCATGGATCAAGGCATTATTCGTATGTTCAAGGCCCTCTACATACGAAACACCCTGCAGCACCTCATCCAAGGCATGGACCTTGAGAACTTCTTGCTGAAGGAGTGCCGGCGGCTGTATACTGTTGTGACCTGTCTGAAGACTACCCAGGCTGCATTGAAGGACATAAAGACGAAGACTGTGAGGGCCAGCTGGAAGATGTTGTGGCCTGAAATTGTCCACGACTACAGAGGATTCACCCCAGCAGATATAAGCAACTCAGAAGTGGATAAGGCAGTCAGGCTGGCCTGGATGCTGGGAGGAGTCGTGAGAACTATTAAGGTAGCACAAGACATGATTGATGAATGGGACCCACAAATGATGTGTGCATTGCAGTTCCGGAATGCATGTGAAGGAGCGATAAAACCCTACAAAAGCCTCCTCAGGCATATGAAAAGACAGCGCCAGCAACTGCCTATCATGATGTTCTTCAGCCGCTCACCCAGACACCCACTGCCTACCCCTGGTGCTCCTTCAGGGGAAGAAGATGACGATGCACCTGCTGAAGATACTGCACCACCTGAAGACTCTCCTACTGAGGTCGTGCCTTCAGAGGAGCAGTAACCTTGCTTTTCTTTGCTGTGCAGTACATCTCCTCATCTTCATCGCTTCATCATCAAACAAATTGCACTATTTTCATAGGTTAGTGGTTGTGTGTAAGAACTGTGTGTGTAATTAAATGTACAATAATAATAATACGATATTTGTAATGTCAAAAAAAAGATAAATAAAACAATTTGGACACAGCTGGAGGTTATTTAAATCCTTTGCATGAAATTTATCCTTGGGGCAACAAGGTAGAGATCATTGAGTTCATTGTCATCAGACCTAGTTATTTGGGCAAATTATTTTTCACTATGCCTCGGTTTGTTTATATGTAGAATGGGAATAATACTACCCAAGTAAGTTGGCATGAGGAAACATCTCAAGTGCAGTGAGAGTGGCATATTTTAGAAACCCCAACTATACTAGTGTCCTTCATTCCTACAGTTATCAGAACTTTGTAGGAGTCCCAGGTAATCTCAAAATCAACCTGGTTCTTGATTCCTCTCCCCCACCCACTAGGCTGCTCTGTCTTTCAACAAAGGCACATCCTCAAAATATTTAAAGTAAGAAGTTTCAGCTCTGGGATGGACTTAATGCTACTTCTCTTAGAAACAGCTCCCTATTCCAGGAAAGTGACTTGAAAACTTTGGGACTGCCCTGCTGCATGAAGCCATCCTCCACCCAGCCATCTAGCTGGCCTGGACTCTTTGTGCTCCTCCTGTGGGCTGGCACCCAAGCTGGAGGTGAGGGCTGAGCTAGACTGTCCTCCCATTCGCTTTCATCCCCTGGCTCTGAGGTGGACCCTGAGGCCCTGACAGTGGTAGTTAGAAGGAGGAGGGATCAGGCAGTCTCTAATTGTGGGTTTTCTTTCGGCCTTCCTGACTACCTGCCACCATGTGCAGGTGTGCAATTTGCACTAATTGTAGCATTGGTTCTGAGGGTGATGATAAAACCCACATGGGCTTCTTCATCTCCTGTCTTTTGTCTCACAATAATTTGTCTATTAGAATGTGGGAGACGTTTTGCATGGCATCCATTTTGTTAAAATCTGCTCTGCCATCTCCTGCCCCAAGGCAGGATATCTCTGTATACAATGTTTCTGCATTCCTTTAAGTAACCATTTACTCAGCCAGTTATGCTCTGTTTATCTTTTGTTCCACCCGGGATATTTACTTGAAATTGCTTCGGGGTGGTTACCATCTTGGCAACAAATGTTCTTGTTTTTCTGCTTCTTGCCCTATATATTGTGTGGATCTCCCCAGAATAAACAAGACTTGATCAGAACCCTGTCTTGTCTCCGTTTCTCCTATCTCTTGTCCCTCCTCACCCTCACTCCCCCTCTAGAGTCCTCCTTGCTCGACCTGTGGGACGGGTCATTAGAAGCCAACTGGGCAAGTGCCACCTTGCGTTCTCTTTTTGGTACAGTGCCTGCCATGCCTTAATGCTCAGTTAACACAATTACAGTACTAACTCTCCTCTGGCCTGGTGTTCTAGAGGCAGCACTGGGCAGAGAGTGAATCTGATGTGGATTTCCTTTGAGCCTTGATCCCTTGCACAGGTCCGCGGTCAATACAGTGCTGGTTAGAGATGGGGTAGAGAGAGTGAAGGGCATCATGAGGGTTGTGTAGAGGAATGCACACAGACAGGAGCAAGTTAAGGGAAACCTGAAGTTTTTGTGAAGATCTTCATTCTTGGGACCAGCCTGTGTGTTGACAAATTCCTTACCTCCTCTTAGACTCTATTTTATCATCTGTAAGTGGGGATAACAATATCCACCTCTTAGAGCGTATTATAGTGAAGACAAAACAAAAGTGAAGAAAAAGTGTCTAGGGCCTCAATCACGGTAAATTTCCTACCCACTCAAACCTTCCAGGAATATCCAAGTGCAAGTCAACCTGGAGATGTCCATCTGTCAACACTCAGGCCCTGAGGGTCTATGACAGTTTACGCAGGCTTAGGAGTCCCTTTCCACTGACCTTTAGGTTGGGTGTCAAATCTACCCCGGGAGCTAGAACTGGGACAAGAATAGCTGCAGGGTGGCATTACGCTGCGGAAACCGAGTCAGTCAGTAAACCAGATGTGAAGGCCTCAGACCTGAAAAGCAGGTGTGTGTGTGTGTGTGTGTGTGTGCGCGTGTGTGTTTTCAGAGGCAGCGGGGAATACGGCGATGCAGGCTGTATCCGTGCCAAAGGTCGCTCCTTTACTCTAGCAGCGACCACGGGGCGCACGGAGGTGCGGGGAGCGAGGTCCATGTGGAGCGGCAGGAGCCAGGCTCCGGGGCGCACAGTCCTCCCCCGCGGCGCGGCGGCCGCCAGGTGGCATCAGGACCCGGGAAGCGGGCGCCGCCCGTGGGCAGGGCAGGGCGCGAAGGGGTTAACGGGTGGGCGGAGCCGCGGCGCCGGAGCTTCGGGGAACCCACCCGGGTGCGAGGAGGAGGGAGAGGCCGGGGCTGCGGAGCCCGGCGCCGCGCCGGGCTGGGGCGCGGCCAATTGGACGGCGGGCCCGGCGCGCGCAGAGACTGGCGACATGGAGGCAGGCGCGGCAGCCGGCGGCCCCTGACGCGCCGCTCCGTCCCGGTGGTCGGCGAGGCCGAGCCTGCCGGGGCCCTGCAGCGCGGAGATGAGCAGGTCGGCGGCGCTCCTGCTCTGCCTGCTGGGCTGCCACGTCTGGAAGGCGGTGACCAAGACGCTGCGGGAGCCGGGAGCCGGAGCCCAAGGTGGGTGCGCGAAGGGGCCGGAGTCGAGGCCGGGCGGCGGGCTTTTGTGTGGGCCACGGGCCTGCCGCAGAGGCGGCGGGGAGGCTGTCGCTCTGCATTGTGTCGCGGTCGCGGGAGTCGGGCCTGCAGCCCCCGCGCTGCGCTCCAGAGGGGGGCGGCGCCGCCCAGGGACGCCGAGCGGCCTGGAGCAGATGCTCCTGAGAGGCCGGGGACCGGTGGGGGTGTGGGTGGCACAAGCTTTGCTGCTTTGGGTGGCGCGTTCGGATACATCCGAAGGTCCTTTTCTTTATGCCTTGACCCGGACACGCGGCTGCATCTCCTCCTTCGCCCAGGTCGCCGCCGCCTGCTCTCCCCTCCGGCTCGGGTCCTAGAAGCCCGAGCGCGGAGGCTGCGCTCGACCCTTTTGTTGTGGCGGCGAGGGGGTGGCCCCTGCCCCTGGGGTGGCCCTTGCACCCCGGGACCCCGAGGTCCGCGGTTGCTGCCAGTCACGGGCTTGCCGCAGTTCTGGAAAGTTTTAGGGGTCTCCTCCTCCTCCTCCCTATCCGACCGACGTCTTCTCTAGGCTGTGAGGGATTTTTCCATAGGCCCAGGAATCACCCCTTGAAGGGGAGAAAGAATTGGAACTGGGAGGCCCTAATCACTTTAAAACAACAATCATTTCCAGGTCTGTATGTCGCCAGCTCCTGCCTTTTGTCTAATCTTTGGCCTCTGCAAATTTGCTTTCCAGCCCTGGAAGTAATGTGGTCATCTCTGAGAATGACCATGAGCCTGTCTTTTGTCTTTAAAATACGAATTTACTTTTAGGGGGGGGGACCCCGAAGCTTCCTCTGCACGCGTTTGTGAGCATTATATCCAGTGCTTCTCTGTTGCTGGCCTTTTCAAAAGGGTGAGTGAGGCCGAAGCAGAGGAGCATCTGCATCCGCGTAAGACACCACTGCCTGCCTACCTCCCTGGGCCTCTCAGGGTCCCCCTGCAGCCCTGGAGACCCCCCCACCCCCCCTGCCCGCCTCCTTGCCCTCGTCCTTTCCTTGCAGAAAGGTGTGTGTCCTTGTGAAGTCAGCCCTGCAACCTCCATCCAGTGTTCTCTTGTTCAAACCTGCCTTACCTCCATTCTCATACTAACTCCCTTCCCTTATACCAAATACTAGAGCAGAGAACCTGGATGGCCTTCCACCCCTGATGTTGTGACAGGGAGGAAGGTTCTACCCACAGTCTGCTGGGTTTAGTTTGTTTACCTAAATGTTGAATTAAAAGTTTTCACATCCCTCCTTTGCTGTACCATTTGCCGGCATCTCTTTTATGCATTGTTTTTGCTGTAGCTACAGTATAATATGACCATTATGAATTGTGTATAATTGTATGTTATGGAAAGGGGACATTGACAAGTACAAAAACAAAACCAAACCCATATCTCTCTTCATATAGGAAATGAATGTTTAGGACATTAGATCATTGGTGTTGAATTGTAGCCTCTTTCATTAATGTCCTACTGCTCTTTGAATCAGCTATTAATGAATGATATTTGTGTTTCAGGAAGCTATTAATTCCCAAGAAGGGGTTGAATTTTTTGTTTTGCACTTGAAATGCAATATATAGAACCAATGAGTTTGTGTACTTGTAAAATAGGAGAAGGCTTGGTTGGCCTCAACTGGAAAAATAAAAGAGTAAAGTAATGAAAAAATCTACTAGGCTTAGATTAGAGACCACATTTCACAGCGATCTTGCAGCTAAAAATCAGATCAGGTAATGCAACTCTCAGAAATGGTATGTTCTGTCAAGTGAAAGAGAAATGATCAACCTGTGAGGATATTTATGCCATGGCTAAGAGAATCTTAGTGGATGGGATGGTTGAGTGGAATATTTTTCCACCTTGATTATTTCCTTGATTGAATAAGGATGACTTTTTAAAAAGTTGAGCCCAGGAGCCCTAACCGAAGTCAGGATCTCACTTCCTGCCATCTAGATTTTTTTTTTTTTATCCTCACTCAAGGACATTTTTGCATTCATCCTCAGAGTGAGAAGAAGAGAGGGGGTGGAGAGAGAGAGAGAAAGAGAGAAACATCAATGTGAGAGAGACACACCAAGTGGCTGCCACCCACACAACCCCAACCAGGGCTGGGGACAAACTGCAACTGTGATATGTGTGCCCTTAGCGGGAACTGAACCTAGGACTCTCTGGTTCCCCGGCCGACACTCTAACCGCTCAGCCAAACTGGCCAGGACTGCCATCTAGATTTTGAGCTAGTATCATTTTTATGGGAATGGACAGTATCTCCTTTGACATTCTACAGTCTCTTTCACTCCACTGAGTTCTTCAGACCATCTTGACACTTACCTTGTAACAGTTTTTAGATTCATGTTTTCTCTACTCTCCTGGGTCACATATACATGAAGACAAATGCCGCATCTGATTTCACTTTGCATTTTCTACAGCAGTTTGTAGATTGTTTTGCACATGGTCAGTGCTACAGTGGTGAAGGGTTGAAGACAGCTAGTACATATACTGTAGTGCAGCTGTTTTCACGGCACACACAAACTACTTATTAAAATTCTGTGGCACACCAGAAAAATACAGTTTTGCTGATCTGACAAAAAAAAGGTATAATTTTGATTCATTCACACCAGATGGCGATTGTGGTGTTGGGTGTTGCCATGTTTTGTTTTGTTTTATTAAATCCTCACCTGAGAGTATTTTTCGATTTATCTTCAGATAGAGTGGGAAGGAGGGAGGGAAACATAGAGAGAGGGAGAGAGAGAAACATCGATATGAGAGACACATTGACTGGTTGCCTCCTGCCAGGACCTGTCAGGAACCAAACTGCAACCGAGGTACGGGCCCTTGACCGGAATTGAACCTGCACCTCTTTGGTCCACAGCCGACACTCCAACCGTTGAACCAAACTGGCCAGGGCTGTTGTCATGTTTTTATTTGACAATCTAAGGCAGTGGTTCTCAATCTGTGGGTCGTTTGACCCCCAAAGGGGGGTCACCACAACATGAGGAACTGTATTAGAGGGTTGCGGCATTAGGAAGGTTGAGAAAAGGGGAAAAGAGGTTAGCGCCCAAGACTAAATAGCCAGGCATGGGCATGTTTTAGTTCTTGTGGCACAGTGGTTGAAAATCTCTGCTGTAGTGCAACATGCAGTCATCATCTTAGCATGCATTTTAAGGAGAAAACTGCAATGTTTACCTTCTTTGAAACCTAATTTTTAGGAATTTTACTTTTATTGTTGAAACTTACTTGAATCATACTTTAACATGAGTTGTACACACACAGACATTGTATACCAACAGGACCGGCCTGTGTGGCTCAGTGGTTGAGCATTGACCCATGCACCAGGAGGTCACTGGTTCGATTCCTGGTCAGGGCACATACCCAGGTTGTGGGCCCAATCCTCAGTGGGGGGCATGCAGGAGGTGGCTGGTTGATGTTCTCTCTCATCATTGTTTCTGTCTCTCTCTCCCTCTCCCTAAAATCAATAAAGAAAAAAAAAATATATATATAATATATATAAAATAAGTACTTGGGAAAATCTTAGAGACCTGGAACAAACAACATAGATCATGTACTCTATTCCTGGGACTAAATAACATCTTCTTTATTAAATGAATCTTTACTATGTTATCTGAGGAAACTAACATCTTGCAAAACTTCTTGGCATACCTTTTTTATTCACATATTCATGATAAGATTTAAGGTTTGGCTTCAGGTTTTTCTTACTGTAGCTGCTTTGAATCAGCAAAGGGATTTAAATAAAAGCAACAGTTGTCACAGTGAGGCTTTTGTTAATCTTGAATTTGAACTAGTTCTAGAATGTGATTACATATTTTTATTAAGTGTTTCATCTAAGCTGCTCTAAAGTGTTTATGGTATCTTTTTATTTTTTATTTTTGGAAATTTTACAGAAACTCTTATTCCAAAGTATTGACTAAATTTGCCTTTCTCCATCTCTTACAATGTGTGCATTGAGGCTGGCTTGATAGAGGGTCCTTGAAGAGCAGTAAATTGTGCAGATGTGCTCTGTAGGGATGTATTTTCCAAGCCCAGCACTCGTTATGTGCCAGAAGGGGTCACAGGTAGGTTAAGGATGTCAGGACTTCTACTGTATCATCCTGACTTTGATGCTCATTATCTAATTTTGCAATGGTGTGCTAACTTTTTGTTCATCTCAGAGAAGCAACAATCTGTCATAACATTTGAGATGAATGGTTGGCTGTCTCTCTTCTCTCTGAGAGGTCTGTTCTTTGCCAAACTCAAATTTCAGTTATTAGAACACCACTGTGATCCATTGAAAGACCATGAAGTGACATAAGATATCAGGAGAATCAGCCAACAAAGCACGACTATGCTGACATTATATTAAGAGCATATCATCTAAATAAAACTCACAGGCTCACATCCTGGGAAACTGCAGGACTCATTGCAAGCTAGGTGTGAGAATTCTGTGCAGAAGCAACAGCAACATCTAGGGAATTTCTGACAGGGTCTTTGAAGTGAGTTTATGAATTATTTTTGTATCCTGTTTGTGCTTGTCCTATAATACAATTGATGCCTGGATTTCTAAACTAATAGCCTGCAAATGAAAGCACTTTCTGAGTTTTAATCAACTTTTCATGTTGAACAAGTTAGTGATGATATCTCTGTAAATCTGTGTGTCTTTATTATTGTTGATAAATACTAATTTTGTTAATATTACTTATCTAAAAAGCACTTGGAAGTAAATTAGACAGATAACAGACATGTATAAAACTGTATATTGAAGGAAAAATGGATATAATTTTTTCAGAAAACGAGATGGAAGAATTTATCCTGTGATAACGACTACCTTTTGTACCTTTTGTGAAACATGTTTAATGGAAATTATAATGTAGTTCATAGTGCTACTGTAGTTTGATCAAGTTACAGATAAATATTATAAACAAGTCATTTTCATTTGATATCACCAAATATGACTTCAGAACTTTTAAAGACCCCAGTCCTGGTTCAGTTATTCAGGCCC